ACAGAAACAAGGTAGGATATCATGTAATGGTTGAGCTTGTTATCCTTCTTTGCAGTGTAGCAAGTTAGTCATTGCAGCTTCATCACAGCATGGTGTTATGTCCTGCAGGAATGTAATATTGAAGAGATGGATGAGGATGACCTTTCAAAAAACTCCAAGGACTCAAAGAAAAGGGGAGGAGAGGATTCTGGAAAAGGCCCAAGCCTTATGTTTAAGATCACAAACAAAGTTCCATATAAATCTGTTCTAAAAGGTTATTTGCTCATTTTATTTCAGTAATGAGGCACAACATGGTACACTTGGGATAGTTCGTCGTAATCATTTTGATACTTACGCATTTGTTATGTGTGCATGCATACAGATAAAATGCATACATATAATCATTTTCTCAAAAAAATAAAAAAAATAAAAAATGCTTACGTATAACCATTTAGTCAGAATCTACCCAACCTTTAACTTCCAGGTTGCGTCAGATTTTTATCCAACCCTTGTTTTGAAGGATAGTGTTGGTCGGAACAGTTTTGATAGGACAGTCAGGTTCCTTTAATATGATAGAGCTTAAACAAAATAAATCCATAAGTAGGATTCGTATTAGTACCATGACTTACCTCAGCTAGCAGGTGAAGGTTCAGAAATGTAAAAGAACCATATTACTCAATATCATCATGTTGCCTTTGGCCAAAATAGCTTAAAAGTTTGTAAGGCAAACCCTACCTGTTTGTTTGACAGGGTGTTTAGATCAACTCTATAATGGTCGACACATAGTTACACAACTAAAACCTGTTAATTTCAGGTTCGCTTCAAATTTCCATCCCTCCCACAAGTTTGCAACATCTACTTATTTTATTTTTGTTTCTTCACCTTTAATTGTTAGTTTTATCTGATACCAAAGGCTGCAATTCTGCAGCTCATAGTGCTCTTGTGTTGAAGGCTGAAAGTATGGCTGACAAGGTCGAGTGGATGAATAAGATAGGAAATGTTACTCAGCCCTCCAAGAGGCAAAGCCTATCAGATGGTTCTCTAGTAAGATTAAACCATATACTATTTAAGTGTGGATAAATAATGGGTTTGCATGTTTAATATTTTGATATTAGTTCCCCAAAATCATTGAAAATTTTAAATTAGTCTCCAACTCTTATAACTATTTTGAAATTAGTCTCCCAACTTAACATTTGTTTGATTTGGGGTAGAATAATCTTTCAACTAACCGAGAGACTAATTTCAAATCACTTCCAACATTTTGGGTTTTAGTTTAAAAATATAGAATTTGGGGACTAAGCTCTCAAAATATGAAGATTCGGAGGACTAATTTTCAAACATGAAAGATTTGCGGGACTAATATCACAGAAAGGAATGTAGAGGATTAAATTTGAAAAAGCTGAGCTATCTTATGCATTCTACTATCTACAAAATTACTATTAGTAAATTAGTCCTATTTACATGTTTTTATTACAATTTCAAGGCGGGGCCAAGGCCCCTTGGCCTATTATGGCTCCGCCATTGTGAAGCTACATGCTATTGTTTATGCTAAGCTCAAAAGTTACCTTCTTTTTTTTTAATGGATCTAAGAACTTAACTATCCACTCCATTATTATCCACATAGGACAACTACAGTTTCAAACATTAACTCTAACCAGCATGTAATTGTAGGACACCATGGCAAGAAAACCTGCTGATCCCGAAGAAGAACTAAGATGGATGTCTCAAGAAGTTCGGGGTTATGTAGAAGCTGTCTTGAACAGCCTTGCTGCCAACGTCCCTAAGGTAAGAATGCTTTATTTCGCCTCTATCGATCAGTTACCAGAATCATCAATATCTCATAATTGTGTCTGATAGAGCAGGCTGTGGTGCTTTGCCAAGTTGAGAAAGCAAAAGAGGACATGCTCAATCATCTATATACAAAAATAAGGTAATTCTTGCCAAACATGCAAATGTAAAACCATGACTTCTCTGGAAAGCAAGAGGTTCTTACACTGAAAAACTTTCAAAGTTCCACATATAATACTAGCCTAAATTTAGATTCCATGAATCAACATCATTATCTTAGGAGATGTCATGATCATCTTTACGCCTACAAACATTCAGAATTCCACTAAGAACTTCTTTATTGACTAGCTTTTGTCTGGTTACTAGTTCACAAAGCACAGCTAGAATTGAAGAACTGATTCAAGAAGACCAAAATGTCAAACAAAAGCGAGAACGCGTTGAAAAGCAGTCATCTCTTCTCGCAAAACTTACTCGCCAGCTAGGTGTTCATGACAATCGTGTGACTGCAGCTAGCTGGTCAGACACTGAGACTGGAGCAGGTAGCTTGACTTCAATATTTCTCTGATCCTGTAACTAGGTTAACCACTTTGCTTTATGCCTGAGCTACTTGGCTGTTCAGAAATCTAGTTGTGATTCTGAAATTTATGACCTTCTTTTACAGCTATTTCATGTTAGTATTTCTTGTTAAGTTTGGAAATTAAACCTCGTAAAATGATATTTTACTGTGTTCTTTAAACATATATTTCACCCTAATCAAAAGAGCAAGTTTAGCACACAGAACTTGGGCTCTTAGATTTACGTCTCAATTTGGCTCTTCATCTTAATTTAATACCTTAAAATATCATTACTCTCTTCGTCCTTCATGCAGGCTATCGTGTCCAATAAGTTTGAAGGGTTGCTACTTGGTTTCATGACTCATGATCAATTAAGTAGGTCTCTAGATTTTGCCACTGCACTTGGTTTCCTTATTACTATATTATTCATAAGGGACAAAACCCATTACAAATGAAAATTGTTCAGCCTCTTACCGGAACTTAAATATAGTCAAAACACAATTCAAGAAATATGTGCCAATGCTTTCGTTTCGTGAGCTTACCTTTCCTGTAAACAAGTGTTCTCTTATGTAACCAGTACCGGGTTTTATTAAAGCCCTTCCTTTGCCTATCTTTAACAGAACAAGAACTAGGCACGCTTCGAGGGTTGACATCACATTGACAGCAATACATAATGTCGGTTGTCTTTTCATGGAAAATACTGATTTGAAGTCGTGCTTCCTTATGGGACACTATTCAGTCCCGCCAGGATTAGAAAATGAGAAGGCACATGTTTTGTAATATAGCATTAGTCATCAAATGATCAAAGTGAATTAATGGGTAAAAGCATATATTAAAGTTTGCATGTTTCAGCATGAGTTATGTTACTCATTTATTAGTTTGCGGCTTTGAGCTAAACTATTTGTTTGCCACAACACTTCTTTTGTAGTTATTTCCTACAAAATGATTTAAATTCTGGTGACCTTTCTGCGCAGGATTAACCTATCTAATCAAAGTGATCGTAATTCTTGTTCTTTCTTTTTGTGAGAACGTAGGATGCAGCCAGGTCTTTTGTAGTTCCATTTAGTGCAGATTTAGTGTATGTGTATGGTTATGTTAGGAAAGTCGCATAATCCCAAAGAGGGATAGTCAGGTTTCAGTTGTAGGAAAACAATTACGATAATATTACATGGTTTCTCAATGTGGAAGCAAAACAAAATTTTTTCTAACTTTCCTAATGTACTAGCTATTCTAATATGTCTCTCTCCTGCTTATCTTTAATTGTCTATATTTTTGTATGAAGCTCCTGGTTTACATTTTTGCACGTTACGCTGGAGAATTTTTTTTTCTTCTGCTTGATGTTTCTTACAAATTAAGTTCCTACAGTATTAATCAAATGATTTGATTAACATTCTTTAACTTACTGAGACTCTTAATTTTCTACAGAGAGTAGTCCAAGGTCTAATGCGCCCTCTAGTGAGGAATGGAGGAATGCATTCGACTCTGCTGCTAGTGGATTAAATTCATTCAGCCGGTCCAGCAGCAGCAGCGGTCATAGCAGACGCTACAGTGATCCACCACAGAACGGTGATGATTCAAGTAATTCAGCATCAAATTCTAACCGCCGAACCCCCAATAGATTGCCTCCAGCACCACCTCAAAGCACTTACCAATAAATACTAGACAAATCATTGTTTAGTTGGTGTTTCTATGGCAATTTCTTTGTCAGTTTTTTTGTTTTTATTTTTTATTGATGTTGGGTACAAAGGCCCCCTTTTATTTGGGGTAATTTCTTTTTTGAGGTTTTGCAGAGAGGTAAACAATTGAGAGATGTAAAGAGGTTTTTGTACCCAGCATCTGATTTTGAGATCCTATTCTTTGTAGACTATAGGTATACCATTCTTCATAACCTTGAGGCGGGTTCCGCTTCCATTATATGCTTTTAAGTCTATCATCTCCTGCTGTTGAAATAAATAATTCGTTGCTGAAGGGTCAAATTTTTATTTTTATTTTGTGATGGTTGGTTATTGTTGAGATGTTACCTTCTTTTGTTCTCGGTAATGTCCGTGTTTTCATACGGTTAAATTTACAGTGAAGGCTTCAAGCAACTCCTTTTGCCTAATAAAGTCGATAAATTTCCTATCGTCTTTCTTTTGAATGTTAAATCTAGCATACATGGCTTCAACATCTGTTTCTTATGACAAACAGCGTCTGAAAAACTATCGACCGTGATAAGAATAATGTTATCACTTTGATCACCCCCCTCAACTTAGTAATCGTAACCAACTAGAATTTTGCTGATGACCTAACAGATGGAAACAATGATAGTGTACAAAGACCGATATAGCCGTCCATCTTTTTCCTTGCCATTCATAGTTTTCTTCAGTACCCAACCCAACCAGCGGAAGCAAAGATTAGGTGAAGATAAAGAAGCAGCAGCAGCATCTATCGTGCTTAGAAAAAGAAACTGTGAAACAACAAAGATGGTTGTTGTACTGTAATCATGCGAAGAAACTGCACTTGATGAACGCGAAACAAAAAACTGACTCGCACAATACTGCTCTCCTTGTTTGCTAATAGTAAAGGATTAACCAGCATTTATAGTGAAAATGCAATTTACCGTCAGCAGCAATAACTCCAAGAGGGACACCATTTAAGCTGTATACAGGGAAAGCTGCAGAATTATGCAGCTGGTGGACATGAAAGAACAAGAGACATGTAAACAGTAAGGAAAAGAGCAACTCACCACAGACCCTCTGCTGTTTGTAGATCATGCTTAAGAATTACATTTTAATAGGGGAAATAGAAATAAAAAATATATATATATGCTTATCATAACTCATAGTATATAATTACTATACTGCTGCTGAAGAAAATTACGCCGCATCCTCGGTGGCCTCAACTCAGCATCGCAAGATACAGATCCAAGTGCAGGACACTTGGAATGGAAAATAGCCGCCTTAGAGGTTGACTTTTTGGTTGAATAAAAGGTCACCACCTTTTTTCAGACAATGAAATGAGCTGAAGACAAGAATACAGACACCATGATTAATAAAGGAAGAAAAATCAATACGCAAACAATAACAGGGAGCTCACCCAAAGATTTCACGGCTTTATTTCTATTTTTTAATCTAGTCACGATTACCTTTGGGATGTGATTCATGAAATGGAAAATAACACTTACCCTCTCAGATTTGGATCTGTCCTAATGCAAGCATTTATTTAATAATGTGAAGTTGAGATTAAATTGATTGACCAGATCATATACAAGGTAAGGTTATATTAGACAGGTTTTAACTAAAATGTTCGCATCTATAAAAATATATACTATGCCATTTATTGTCAATGATCTAAAACTTTCATTGTGATGCATATAAATATATACTATGCCATTTATTGTCAATGATCTAAAACTTTCATTGTGATGCATATATTGTAAAAATCACGGGGACAAAAAGTTTCATGGATTTAATATTTTTAAATTATACATCTCATGGTCTGAAATGGACGGTCCATGATGGTTTAAAAGTTGTTTAGTTTAAGTTGCTTAAATTGTAGGATAAAATATTCCAAACCATGTGATCTTTGGTCTACCAAAGCTTGATGATGTATAGGTCACAATGAACGGTTTGGATCAGTAATATGAATGACCTAACATATATTTTTATAGGTAAATAAACTTTTTAAGTACATGATCAGTAATATGAATGACCTAACATATATTTTTATAGGTATGTGAAGTTTTTAAGTACACCCTACGTGTAATGTACATTACCCATATATAGACAAACGGGTACGAGGTGGCAACTCATTTTGGTACATAATCAAGAGATGGCTACTGATGAAGCCTTGTCCCGCTAGCCGCATAAGAGTTGGTTGCCCTCACCGCTCCTACCTCTTGGCAGCTTATTTTTTTTAAAAAGGAAAATTTAAAAAACTATTTGAAATTTAATACAAGACTGGAATCGGCTTATATTTGATTACAAAAATCAACTAACTTTCCAAAAGTTTATCAATTTTACAAAATCAATCTGTTGAATACTGGGATTAGCAATCCCGGCTAGAAAAAATCCCAGGTATCTTTTATATGCAAAAAGTACCCAGGATTGTCAATCACCGGTAATTAACGGAAGGGAAATTCACAAAAATGTCCAATTCAGGAAGTTGGTCAGTTTTCATAATTAAATGTAGACTTGGCCAATTTTTAATAATTAAATTTAAAAATTGGTACCTTTTCAGAAAAAGATTTATTCTTCTTAATGAGTTGTATGTTCATGGCCTCATACCTAGCATTGCCTATATGTAAAAACATACACACAGGACCCGCTATTTTTGTAACTCTGTCAGTTTCTTCAGTGTAGTGCTGAAGAGTATATTGTGGATCACATGATAGTTTAATAGAATAAACAAGTTTAATTATACCCTATGCAAGGCGGTATTTGTAACTCCACTTATAAAAGATATAAAAGCATGTTTAAACAAGGGGAAAATGACAAACCTGACGAGCAACTTGCATTAGCCGCCTATTGTTCCGAGGCAATTCAGTAACTGATGGAGGCTTATGCGGCTCCAGAGACACATTTTCTTTGTCCGTGGATTTTCTTTTTCCAGTAACCTTCTCAGGGAAAAGGCTTGCACTTTCATTCTTGCTAGTTGAAGCACCCCTCTTCCTTGTCCTCTGGAACGTATACTTGAGAAACTTATCTTTTCCAACTTGAGGAAGAGCTTCACTAGACTCACAAGTTGCTTCAACTTTACAATTTGATTGTATTACTGGATCATCTTTCAACACGTCCAAATTTTCTGCTATATTCTGATCAGAAGATGTAAGTTTTGAATCGTCAATCTGAAGAGGCCTTACTTCCTCATTCTGTTTAGTTTCACCCAATTGAATGTCATCCTTCATTTCAGCTGTGCTCAACAACATCAAACCTTTGATGCTATTTTCACGCTCACTAGTTTCCATGTTACATGAAAAATTCTGAGGAATTTCATTCTGACAATTCAGATTTTGCTTCATATCAATCTGGTTGGTGAGACTTCTGTTATCGTATGACAAAAGCCCTGGAATTTCCTTGCAAGAAACACTGTTCGGGCTAAACCTTTTATCATCCTCACCTTCACAGATTGTACTAACTGTTGGAGCAGAATGAGATTTAAGAAGTTTATGTGCTGGCTCTTCAGTGATAGACTTAGTAGTAAGGATTGAGCCAGATTTGGTCTTAGAACCCTCAAAGCCTGATTGTTGGTGACACCTTGCATCCTGATTGCCGGAAGTAGCACAATCGGTAGGTTTCACATAGATGTATCTTGTTCTTGGTTTCCTTAGAGATTGATTGTGGAAGATTTTAGCAGGATGACCATTTTCGCAGTTACTCGATGGTTGTGCGTGTCTTTCAGATTTTGAGGAATTCTTTGCCTGCTGAGCCATTGTTTTCACTGTATGAATATAATCTATAGTGTGGGGCCTTTCGAGCTTTCCAGAAGGATTATACTCATTAACGGAATCAAGTTGCTGGCTATCATTTTGTTCATTAGGCACTTTTCCAGCCAGAACATTATGCTCAAATGCACGAATCCTTTGTGTATAACCGTTCCTGTAAAGCTCAGGTTCTTTGCTTCTCATTATAATTCGGCATCCGTAGCATTTCCTGTGAAAGAACAAACATCACCTTTCATCTTCTGGCCTGAAATGGTGCCTGTCGATAAACTTCCAGAAGCAACCAGAGGATGCACATTGGAGTCAGAATTTAGTTGGCTCTCCTGGCATTTGCCATTGTCCGAAATGGCTTGACCATTTGGATTTTGTCCATTTAATGGCTCAATTATGTTATTTTTCCCTTTCTTCAATTCATTATTTGCCTTTTCCAACTCCTCTCTAAGAGACACAATTGTGTATTGTGCTTCATTAAGTTTGACTTCAAGCTCCTGAATTCTTTTTACCTGACCCAAAGATGTCAGTTCTGCTTCTTTAACCTGAAAAAAGTAAGAACCTAGTCAGTAATCAACATTGGAAGAATATAAACAGATCCATGCATGCATGTGGACGTCTCTGTGTGTACATCCATGTGCACATTTTAGAGAAAATTCCGATTTCTGTATATCAATGCGCATATCATAGCTGCTACAGAAAAGATGATTGTTGATAACTGGTGGCCCGCAAAGTAGGGTGCGTTTGAGATAGTATCTTCACATCGCTGTTTCAGAGATAATTTTTGAGTTTTTTTGTCTTTTTTTTTTTTTTTGCTTTTATTAAGAAATTGGTAGCTGAATCATAGGAGATTCAAAGAACTAGTTGGTACTCTGAGCTTATGTGGTGTAATTTACTATATGGACTTGCTGTCAGAATTTATGCAAATAAAATTCTAATACATGATTTTAGAGGGAAAAAATCTAGAGATTGGGATTAGTCTCTCTCACAGATTGAGAATGAAGATTTCATTTAGGCCTTTTTTTTGGCTAGAAGAGTAAAGGCTTAGGAGTATACATTTCTAGAAGTGCCGTAAGATGAAATCTTATGTTCAATAAAAGTAAGGCTAATTCCACCCAAAATGTAGAATTAGATTTTAGGCATCTCTTCCAAAAGAGAGGCGGTATTTGCATAAACATCTTAAGGAAAATGCCAATACTACCCCTTAACTCTTGCTATTGAGTCCTTGACCTTTGAATATTTCTGATTTTGGCAAAATTTAGCCTTAAATCTAAGCTACTGCTTGTGACCAAATACAGTGTTCAGGTTGTTTCTTAATCTATCAGACTTAAATCTAGTCAGATCAATTCTCTTCATTCTAACCATTGTATGAAGCCTCATAAAGGAACCACTCTTGTCCGAGTCTATCGAACGAGGTATCATTCTAATCAAGCAATAGACTGGCTAGTAAAAGACTCCAGCGATGATGCTTTCCTTTTGATTGTGTATTTCAGGTAGACGTAAATACAATCATGCATATTCATCATTATCCTCTAAAAAATTTCCCACTAAACTGCGCTCAGCTATGGAGGGTGGCTCAAAATCAAGAAAGCCCTGCAAAGGAATTGAACAGGTTTACAGTTGGCTAGTATCCATAGTTTTGTTGCCAAAACCCCAAGGCAATGATGCCATAAAACCTTAATGGTTGGATAGGTAGACCTACCTATTCTGATCATGCAAGTAAAGCTCACAAAACCAAAAAGCAAACCCACTAAATTTTATTAGATAATAGAAAAGTTTGAATGAGAAGTTAACACGATCGTATATTTCCTTTCAGAAACTTGATGGATCACTGAAGCACCCTTACAAGCTAAAGAGAAAAACAACCGCATCTCAGAACTTCATAAGTAAATGAGCAATGAAAATAAATTAATGCAACAGTTCATATATTGGTTCTCCTAGAAACAAAGCAGGATTGCTGAAGGTGAATGTGCCTCTGGAGTCTATGAGACCACGAAATCAAAAGTTTGACAAGAAAAATTTATGAGACAGTAATACAAATTTTAGTTCAATGAATTGAAAAACTGAAGAAGAACTGTGAAAGTAATGCATTAGATAGTCAGATGAGTTCAGACGGTCAATATGGGCTAAATGATAATTCACTGAAGAAGAGAATAAGAAATCAGTGCTCCTACCAAGGAACAAGGGAGAACTGATGAAGATGATTTGAACATGTGCAACAGAATTGATGAGCGTGTCAGTATAGGAAGGCTGATAGACTATTATATTTTAAATCTAGGACAACGATCGACAAGGATAACCTGGAGTTAGGCAGTAGAGAATGATAAGTATAGCTACTAACTGAACTAAGATAACCCTAAATGAAGTTGAATGGCAGTAAAAGGATTCCAGTTGCTGAGCTGAGACCATAAGTTCAGGATGAAGACTTTGCTTTAACTGTTACTATTGTCAATAGTTGTCCATATATTGGTAAACAACTAGAAGGAAAGTGGATATATAGGACATTCAAATAATTGAATCAGCACTAAAGTATAAATAAGTCAATGCATTGACTAAATTTAGCTTCTTTTAGGATGGTGAACCATTTCCGTTTTACCAACCTTACTACATTTCTTTCCATCAAATACATTCTAGTTCTTTAAAAAGGATAAGGTCGCGACTTCTTTTCGACAAAAAGATGACATATGAGTTCTCTTGACAAAGAGAGAATATAAAATGAATTGCATATACTCATCACATTTGTTTAATCATCTTTTGTCATATCGAGACTGATAGTTTATTACTAAAACTTAAATTGTACTAAACTTTAAAACACATGTTTTGAATGACATTTTATTACTAAAACTTAAACTGTACTAAACTTAAAAACACATGTTTTGAATAGACATTTTATAGGCATGCAAACTTCTTGATGAGCATTCTGGTGATTGGTGAATGAACGCACATTTGGAAAATTATACACATACGAAAATTATAGATATACTAAAAAGAGAACCGAGCTACTATTCACCATTTGTAAAATTACACATCAAGATATTTGGAAAAGTATACACAAATTGCACATATACTAAAAAGAATGTTGAGCGACTATTCACAGTTTGAAAAATTATACATAAACACATTTTCAGTGGCTATGGAGCCTTAGAAGCAATAGATCTCAGCGACAATGATATAACAATGTCAATCAATGGATGAAATATAGAATGGAGCAACAAGAAAGGACCTAAATTGCCAACGATAATCTCAGCACTAAGTCAATGTCAGTGTGTAATTTGCCAGCATGAATTCCAAATTATAGCAAGATACAACATAACAATGTTAACTCCAAGTATGAAGACTTGAAGAGTATACCAGGCAAAAAGTTTTTCTTCTTTCTTTCTCTTTTTTGCAGAATTCAGCATTCAGATTTATAAAAAGAATTATTATTATAATACTTATTGAAAATTATTGAAAACACTCCACTATATCTATTAGCATTTACTATCTTTTATTCTTTTCAATACTTTTGCTTAAAGATAGAAGCCATCCGACAACATTGAAAGTAATTATCCAAGTGCTATCCCCTAGTTCTATGATGAAAAAAGAAAAAACAAACAGAGTTACAATGCCTATGCTCAAGTCCTCAAAATCCCGCATTGTTATCTCTGCAGCTTAACACTAAAATAAATAGATAGGGTTGACAAAAATGCTTAGATGGACACCTTTTAACAATCTGAACACCCGAATAGATAAGAGATCCCCGATCATAAGGTAAAAATCTGAACACCTTTTAACAATCAATTTGGCAGAGCTTCCAACATATAAATCAAGTACAATATCTATCATACCTATCAAAATATCCCAAACTATATGACAAGGACCATTAATTTTGTTTTATAATTGTGATCAAATACTCGTTTCGTAAGTTATAACCATGATTTCAAAGAGACAAAGACTCAATGCATCTTCCTAGAAAAGGCAAAACCTGTAAGTATATGACAGAGTAGCGAGACACCATCAACTCAATAACCACTCCAAGATGCCATCTTCGTCAGAATTTTGTATATAATCAAAAGGAGTTGAAATCTAACAATTCACTGCCACAACGTAAAAGGCTAAAAAACAACACACCTATGAATCAAGATGAAATTGTGATTTATGTATCTCATCATGCTGGAGGTGAAACAAACATGTACTACATCCTACCACAAGACCCTTAAAAAAGGCATTTGCTGAGACACCAAATTTCGACGACGAACTGAACATAGCTGACTCCAAAATTTCATGCGGACCAACATTTGGCACACAATTCAAGTAGAACATAACGACCCGAAGATTTCGCCTCTAGCAGCATTTAAGCGAAATTGGGAACAAAAGGATCATTTTCAGTGGACGATGATATTACCTTAGAGTCCATTAAGCTCTTCAACCTGATCATCGCAGCGAGGGCTTCCTCTTTAGCAGAGAACAGCGATTGCTGAAAGCGAAGAGCTTTGCGCTCCGATGACAGAATCCTCGCCGCCGATTCCTTCGCTGTGTTAAGAATAACCTCAGCGTACGCTCTCTTTAGAGCTCCCATTCTCTGCAGAAATCAAAGCAAAAAAAATACACAAATTTACACACAGTTCGAGATGAAGAAGGGGATGATGATGAAGAAAGAGAGAGCGATGATGATGATGACCTCGGCCTCGGCTTCGGCCTCCATTGGAATCGATGGAGGAGTTGGCGGTTGATGAAAATTTGGGGGCGGAAAAAAAATACTGGTTTTTGTTGTTGGGGTTTATTGCTGTTGGCTTTGCGCTGCGGTTGTTTTTCCCCCTTTCAGCTTTCCTGTCTGTTATGACACACCGCCTCTTTTTACATATTAGCCCCTGTGATTTGTATATATTTGAGAGAGCTTACGAGGGTTTTGGGGTTTTGAAATCCTGCGCGAATCCGACGGTTGGAGCAGCACGTGAGAAGAGGATTCGACGGCCTCGATTTATTACTTTAATTAGACACACTAACAAAGGAACTTGCGTGCTGTTCTAAGGATAGACATTTATTTTGTGCACCATTAATTCAAGGGAAAAATGTGTCCAGGCCCCAAAAACAGAAACTTCATGTACTGCAGCCCCTCCTAGTTTCCCCCATGTGGTTCAGCCCCTTGAAGTGTGACATTTTGTGCTGCAGCCCCTTTTTAACAATTATTACATGCCAACTAAGCTAAAATCCCCAAAATAACCTTATCCCTTCTTCTCAATCCTTCAAACCCAGTTCTCTCTCTCTCTCTCTCTCTCTCTCTCTCTCTCTCTCCCCCCCTCTCTCTCTTTAAAAACAAGGGCTTTCTAAAGCTCGTCGCTCTGGCCCTCGCCCTCCTCGCCGTCGCCACCTCCGCCCAGGCTCCCAAGCCTCCCCCGAGTTCGCCGCCGCCTCCCCTCCTCTCCTCCGCCCGACCTCGTCACGGTAGCTCGCCGTCGTTCCCCTTCTCGCCCTCGACTACGCCTTGATTGAGAGCTCTTGCTATTGGGCCTAGCTGCATTAACAGAGGCAACAGCATGTAGTGATGATGGGCAACCTGAAGAAAAATAAAGAAAATGGCAAAGAAGGAGATCATTAGACTCTACAGAACAAAACCCATTACAGAAAACTTTGCCTGGATTGAAAGTGTACCTTCAGTATTGGCTGCAACTGTGTCCAAAAATCCTCTTTTAGTGGGTTTAGAGGCTTTAGGAAAATAACCCAGAGAGAGGACTAAAGGATCTTCTTCATCAATCCAATTTCTCTCCTTTGACGCCATCAGATTAAGTAGCTTTGGACAAACTTCACTTTTCTATCTAAACTATTCTCCCATTTTTTTACTCAGACTGGAAAAACAGAGCCCGATAGGAGGAGCTAAGAAAAAATGTCAAAAAAAAAAGTTAGTTCTAACACGCGGGTACAGTGTTAGTTCTAACACGCTACAGTGTTAGAACTAACACTGTAGCGTGTTAGAACTAACACTGTAGCGTGTTAGAACTAACACTGTAGCCGCGTGTTAGAACTAACACTGTAGCCGCGTGTTAGAACTAACACTGTAGCTTGTTAGAACTAACATTGTAACGTGTTAGAACTAACACTGTAGCCGCGTGTTAGAACTAACTTGTTAGAACTAACAATGTAGCCGCGTGTTAGAACTAACACTGTAGCTTGTTAGAACTAACATTGTAGCGTGTTAGAACTAACACTGTAGCCGCGTGTTAGAACTAACTTGTTAGAACTAACACTGTAGCCGCGTGTTAGAACTAACACTATAGCGTTTAAGTCTCCTGATACTTCTCTCATTCCTTTGTAGGTGGTTTCATTTATGAAAGAAATTGGTTTTGATGGCAGAACCATAGGGAGAATATTATGTCGCTGCCCAGAGATATTTTCTGCTAATGTCGACAATACTCTCAGGAGGAAAGTACAATTCCTCACAGATTTTAGCATCCTTAGAGGTCAACTTCCTCGTGTTATTCGAAAGTATCCCGAGCTTCTTCTGTTAGACATCCATCAAACTTTACGTCCAAGGTATAAAAAGTGTCATGCTTATGAAGTTCTCTAACGTTTCTGTAATAAACATCATTTATGTTATTTTCCTTGAAGTTTTAGTTTCAAATGTGGAATTAGTCATATTACTTTACTCCATGCACGACTCTTTCCTGCTTATTCTGCATATGAGGCCAAGTTTTTTGTGGAAAGATCGGATCATATACCTTCTTGTGCCCAAATGCAGAACATGGTGCTCCCAATACAGGATTTTTGGTAAGATCGTTAGTGCACCAAGTAGACTTACTTCATTCTTTAATAAATTTATGGGGTTAAACTTGTAATTAGGTTTGTATGCCCGAAAATTCCATTAGGTCAATTACCATCAATTATTTCCCCCCAAAACCCCAGATCAATTATTTTTTTCTGTAAAAAATCCAAATTAGTGCGTGTTAGTTCTAATCTGCACAGTGTTGGTTCTATTCCGTAGAGTGTTAGTTCTAATCTGCACAGTGTTAGTTCTGTTCTGTAGAGTGTTAGTTCTAATCTGCACAATGTTAGTTCTAATCTGCACAGTGTTAGTTCTATTCTGTAACGTGTTAGTTCTAATCTGCACAGTGTTAGTTCTATTCTGTAGCGTGTTAGTTCTAATCTGCACAGTGTTAGTTCTATTCTATACCATGTTAGTTCTAATTTATACCACGTTAGTTCTATTTTATACCGTGTTAGTTCTAATTAATAACAAGTTAGTTCTATTTTATACCACGTTAGTTCTAATTTTAATCATATTAGTTCTAATTTATAACAAGTTAGTTCTAATTTATAACAAATTAGTTCTAATTTATACCACGTTAGTTCTAATTTATACAATGTTAGTTCTATTTTATACCAAGTTAGTTCTATTTTATATTCCATGACAAAATCCAACCAAAGATAAGAATACCAACATCAAATTTAGACTGCCTGATACTTTTGTACAAACCAATTTAGACTGCCTGATACTTAGTCTCATGTGTACAAACCAATTTAGATTGCCTGATACTTTTGTAGGTATATAATGAAAAGACTGAAGAGAGTTTTTGTAACATTTCAAGGACCAATCAAAATTTCTCAATTTATCATAGAACACATGACGTCAAGCGGCATTAAGTCAAATTTTGATACACGAAACTTTTTGCAGGTCTGCATCTATAAGAAATCCAAATTATTTTGCCGGCGTAGTAAAGGGCGAGACGGGGAGCGACGGCGAGCTACCGCGACGAGGTCAGGCGGAGGAGAGGAGGGGAGGCGGCGGCGAACTCGGGGGAGGCTTGGGAGCCTGGGCGGAGGTGGCGACGGCGAGGAGGGCGAGGGCCAGAGCGAAGAGAGAGAGAGAGAACTGGGTTTGAAGGATTGAGGAGAGGGGATAAGGTTATTTTGGGGATTTTAACTTAGTTGGCATGTAATAATTGTTAAAAAGGGGGTGCAGCACAAAATGTCACACTTCAAGGGGCTGAATCACATGGGGGAAACTAGGAGGGGCTACAGCATATGAAGTTTCTGTTTTTGGGGCCTGGACACATTTTTCCCTTAATTCAATGTACCGATAACATCGGATGTTTTCTCTGCATAGAAGGAAGTAGGTCGTGACGGTCAGAAAAGGAGGGATGTTGTTAGGCGTAATTGTTGGAATAACGCGGGATGTCGCTTATAAATAGAGAGGTTGTGTCGATTTTTTTTTTGATGACAAGGGAAACTTGGTCACCCCAGCTCAGTTTAACTCCTTCGGAGCCCCGCCAGCGGCCCTGGTTCGATTCCCCTTGTTCCCTTCACATCTATAAGGAGCTACCCTTAATACCAGTGGCTCATCCCCACGGGCAGAGCACGGGCGAGCAGCGTGGGGACCACCGGGACGCGAACTGGTGAGCATACAACGGGCTGAGCTGGATTTGGTGACCAATAAAACCCCGGGTTTCCGTCCCCACCCTTAAACCAAGGGAAAGCAGGTGAATGCGGCTACGAGGATTCGAACTCCTGACCAACAACGGGCAATAGCCTGGAGAGATACACTCCCCCATGGAGAGCTGCTGACCATGAGTCCCACCCGCGGGTGGTAGGTTGTGTCGATTTTATTTCTTCTTGAGTTCATGTATTTTTCTAGGTTTCCTTATTTTTAGGATATTTAATTTTAATGAATTTACTTTTTTTTTGATAGAGTATTGGTGCTCCCCCGGTTGTTGATAATCACCCTCTTTATGAAATACCAAAAGCACTCCCTTTGGCAACAAGTTAAGAGAAAGATTAAGGAGTTTAATATCTCTTTAACTTTTCAAATGGGTTAATAAACCCTTGTCAAGGGTTAACCAACTCCATCAACTGCTCTCCCTCTCTCCCTCTCTCTCTTGTATTAAACATTCTTCTTTTTGTTTCCTTTAGGTCCACAAATTTTCATATTTTTCCTTAAATTGTTTATTAATTCAATTGATATGCATATTTCTTTTAGTTTTCCTAATCCATATTTTTATTTTCGCAAATTTCTTGATTTTCATATTTCTTTTGACCATTCTTAATCAAATATATTCAATTCAAAGTCTAACAAACTGAAACGAAAACTAATGGGTTGGTTTGTTTTCAGTCTTAGAATGGTTTAACACAATTTTGTCAATATTTAACAAAGTCAGTCGAGCTGGCTATTTGCTCATCCCAACCCACTGTAAAAACCTACAAAAGTAATGATCATTGGCCAAGTGTCTCTCGTCGCATCAGAATTGACCTTATCGTCAATCATTTCCTTTCAACTCAATATATATATGACTCCTTGCCTGAAACAGGAATTGGAGAGGAAGATTAGACTAGGGAAAACCCAAGAAAATTGTGGGAGATCAAAATTTTCCCCCTATATAAACACACCCCCTTTGCATAAGTAAGGGGTCAAGAAGCCCAATATTTTAATACACTTCTTCTTAAAGCCCAAAAAAGCTCTCGTGCATTAGAGGATACGTTTTGTTAATGCTTGTAGTCTGTCTAACCATTTATTCAGAAGCGAGATAGGTTGTCTTCTCTCTCTAGGGTGCTCTCATTTCTCGCTTTAGCAACATACAAAAACACTCTATTTTTACATCCCCCTCATTATCGGGGATTTGCTTTCCGAGATAATGCAAGATTTGAACAATTTGAAGCCACACAACAACTCATTTACTCGTTGCCAAACAAGAATGTAGATAGAATGATTTTGAAATCTTGATCAATAGCACCTTAAATTCAAATTTGGATCTTAACTTTTTAAATCAATAGCACATGACATTTATATCCGAATCGTAGTCCTATAAGAATAAATAACACCTCATTAAAATCCCAAAAAATAAAAAAGGGAAAAAAAAGAAAAAAAGCAAAAGAAAAAAGAACTAACTCTTAACTGTCAATCATCAACCTAAACGCCCCGCACCAGTAACATCTTCTACTAGTCCTGATGGATCATAATATGTTGTATTTTCAATATGAGTTAAGAATTTACTTAAAAAATGTGACTTAAGCATTAGACCCCCCATCATAATATGTTGCATTTATATGAATTAGATTCCCAATCATAATATGTTGTATTTATATTTTACATCTCTGTTCATTATATGTATTATTTTTATTTCAAAACGATACCATGAGAACTAGATTCACTTGCTTATTGAAGCAACTGTTTGAATGCAAAATTCTCTTAATCGAAATTATCATTTCACTGTGCTTAAAAAAAACATCTTAATCGAAATTATCATCTTAATCGAAAAAAACATCTTAAAAAAAACATCTTAATCGAAATTCTCTGTTCATTATATGTATTATTTTTATTCACTTGCTTAAAAAAAACATCTTAATCGAAATTATCATTTCACTGTGCGACACCTCTACGTTAGTAACATAACATCTGTTAGATATCCATATTAGCCAGATTGCACAAAGAATAATTCTTTTGGGTGCGCACCTAAGCGCTAGCTTCCACTTACATGTGGGACCCATCATCTTCTGCGGGACCCCACACCAGTAAAAATCGGCTGGTAACCCAATGGCACAACGACGCATTCCAACCCAAAGCAGCGATCCAAACCAAGGCCGACTCTTTTAAAAGCTCAGCTCCCTCAGCCGCTAGCTCGTGCTCTTTGTCATTTTTCTTTTCGGCGAAGCGAACAATACTAATCTCCGATGAGCAGCGCTGCATCCAACGGCAGTAACGCCCCGCCCTCCGGACGCTACCGGGTCTACACCGAGGTGCCAGACCAGCCCGCCTCAACCACCCCCCTCCCCTCCCCTCCGTCCCTCCAAGCCCCTTCCAATATCTCGACGCCTCCAGCGAACCCTCCGCCGCGCAAATCCAGTTACGATTGACCGAGCATCGCCACGATCTCCTCGGATCTCGCGGCATTGATTCGATTCGATACGATCTGATTCCGTTTTGGTTGCAGATGAGATCGCGAAGCTGTTCCCGAAACTTTACGGGCAGCCGTCGGCGATGCTTGTTCCTACTGGATCCGCGCCCTCCGAGATGGCGGGAACTATCAAGGTCGGAGTCGTTCTCTCTGGCGGCCAGGCCCCCGGTGGTCACAATGTCATTTCCGGGATCTTCGGTTTGCTTCTCTCTTTGATCTCGTGTTCCTGTGTAATTTTGGCGATTTATTGATGATTTGATGAATTTGGTTGTGGTTTTTGGTAGATTATCTGCAGGATAAGGCGAAGGGAAGCACGATGTACGGATTCAAGGGAGGGCCCGCGGGGATCATGAAATGCAAATACGTGGAGCTCACGCCTGAATTCATCTATCCGTACAGGAATCAGGTGGCTTTTTTGAATGCTATTTTTAGGGGTTATATTGTCATGAGTTTAGATTTTGTGACGTAATTTATTTTGTTTGCTACCTTATATTTCAACTCCTATGATTGGAGATGCACCTGTTTTTTCAAATTTGATTTTGACATTTAGACTTTGTTTTCTTTTGTGTATTTATTTATGTGGGTCAAATAGTGTCATAGATGCTGACAATTGACCCATCTGACTTTTTTGGTTGATTAAAACTAACTCAAAATTCCTTTTATCTAAACAAGCCTGTTATATAAAAGATGTAAATTTGCAATCTTTAATCTATTGGGAAGTTGGGATTTCTGGTAATTGGAAAGCTTCTTTCAGCACATGAAGTGTATATCATGGGCATGATATGCTATAGCTAACTACGTCTGTTGAAAGTTTTGGTATTCACTTCATCATTGGCATGTAGTTTTCCTGGAATATATTTCAAATGGAAAAATTTAATAGGTTTGGGTATCCATTATGCAATTGTAGG